TAGAAAATAAAACCAAAAAAACATTGTGTACACTTTAAAGGCAAAATGAAATTTTTTGCAGTTTGGGCCATCTTTCCAGTGTATTGGATAACACATGAAGTTATTAATCTCCAGCATTAAATTGTAGGAGCCCTAGTGGCACAACGCCTAAGCACTCGGCTGCTAACCAAAAGATTGGCGGTTCTAACCCACCAGCCACTTCATGGGAGAAAAAATCTGGCAATCTGCTCCTGTAAAGACTGTAGCCTAGGAAACCCTATGGAGCAGTTCTACTCTGTCATATAGGGTTGCTTTGAGTCAGAATTGATTCGATGGCAGACAACCACAACGTTATTAAGATAAAGAAAGAAAGAAAAACAGCTTTCCAATAAAGCCTGGGTTTTGATATTCATGGTCTCTATCATATAGTAACAGATAAACACTTAAATAATCAGACTGGAATGGACTTCAATGACTGATCAGCCTGCAAAATTCAATTTTTAATTTTTTTCCCCACTTCAATCTAATTGGCAATTTTGCTCTATCACAGATCCCTAAATATTGGCTATGGCCAAAATGAGAGGTAACCTAGTAAAATCCTCGCAATAAAAAAAAATTTTTTTTTTCCAGCCTAGACCAGACAACTAACACAGCAGGTCTAAAATGCTTCTGGGGAAAGGAAACAAAACCTGGGATGTAACAGAATCAGTGAGAAGCCATGAGTTGAGAAAGAAGGACTGAAAGTAGTAGGGTTAGAAGAATTTCTGTGCCCATAGCCAGTGCTTAACAAAAACAAAACAAAACAAAACTAGTTGCTGTTGAGTCAATTCCAACTCATGGTGTGCTTAATAAATATAAATTAATGGACTCGGTTTTGATATTACATTAAGAGAGAAATCACGTTATCAGGTCAAATAAACGGGGGAAAGGGTGGATTATACAATAAATTGTGTGGGGACAAATGACTAACCACTTGGAGAATGTATAGTTAAATCATAACCTCATACCTTAAATCAAAATAAATTATGTATGAAGTAAGTACTTAAGTTAAAGAACAAAACTAAGACAGTACCCAAAGAAAATATCAGTCAATATGTTGGCATGACCTCCAAGTCAGAAATTATTAAAAATTAGGAAAAGATTGGTAGGCTTAAGTATATGTACTTAAATATTTATATTTACTATTATATTTTAAATATCTGTTGTCAAAATAAAAACAAATTGAGAAAATACTCTGTTTGTTGCGTTTATGACAAAGGGTTGATATTCTTTTTTTAAAAATGTTATTATGTTTTAGGTGAAAGTTTACAGCACAAATTCGTTTTTCATTCAAAAATTTTATACACAAATTGTTTTGTGACATTAGTTGCAATCCTCACAATGTGTCAGCATTCTCCCCCTTTCCTTTCCCACCCTGGGTTCTCAATGTCCACTGATGCAGTTTTCCTGTCCCTTCCTCCCTTCTCATCTTTGCTTTTGGGCAGGTGTTGCGCATTCACTTGATTACTCTCATATACTTGACTAAAGGAAGAAGCATGTTCCTCAGGTGTGTTATTGTTTTATAGGCCTTTCTAATCTTTGGCTGTAAGGTAGGCTTCAGGAGTAGCCTCAGTTCTGAGTTAGCAGGGTGTCCAGGCGCCATAGTGTCAGACGTTCCTCTAGTCAGCGTCAGACCAGTGAGTCTGGCCTTTTTGGGAATTTGAATTTTGTTCTACATTTCTCTTCTGCTCTGCCAGGGACCCTTTTTTGTGATCTCGTCAGAGCGGTAGGTGGTGGTAGCTGGGCACCATCTAGTTTTTCCGGGCTCAGGCTGGTGGAGGCTGTGGTTCATGTGGTCCATTAGTCCTTTGGACTAACATTTTTCTTATGTCTTTGGTTTTCTTCATTCTCCTTTGTTCTGAAAGTGCTGGGACCAATAGATGTATCTTAGATGGAGGCTCGCAAGCTTTTAGGACCTCAGACACTACTCACCAAAGTAGAATGTAGAACGTTTTCTGTATGTCAATTGACCTAGATGTCCCCTGCGACCACGGTCCCCAGCCCTCAGCCCCAGTAACTCAGTCCCTCAAGGTGTTTGGATGTGTCTAGAAAGCTTCTATGACTTTGCCTTAGTCAAGTGGTGCTGACTTCCCCTGTACTGTGTGTTGTCTTTCCCTTCATCAAAGTTAACACTTGTCTACTATCTACTTAGTGAGAGGCTGATATTCTTAACTGTAAAAAGCATTTTTATAAATCAGTGAGAAATGTTGAACATTCCAATATAAAAGTGGGAAAACATTATAAATACAGTTCACAAAAGTAGAAATGCCATGGCCACTAAACATAAAAAGAATTTTCATTCTCACCAGTAATCAAAGAAAAGAACATTAAGACAACACCGATATACCATTTTTGACCTACCAGATTGGAAAAAATAGGTACCTTCTAGAGGGTAAGTTATCAATACATAAAAAAAAGTATTTAAATTGTACACATGCCAATAGATCCAGAAATTTCACTCTGAGAAATTTATCTTCAAGGAAATGTGAGCAAAGATTTATGTACAAGGATATTCATCACAGAACTGTTTAAACTGGGGGAAACTATTTTTTCAAAAGAGGGATTAAGAAATGTATTTGTTGTCTAGAATACTAAAAAGTTCCTTAAAAATCAGTCATAGAAGTGTATTGCCACAGGAAAAAAAAATGCCCATGATGAACTGAGGGGTAAAAAAAGCATGCTACAAAAAAGAGTCTATTTAGTACACAATTTCTGATATATATATCACATTTAAGTTGGAATTCAAAAGATGAAAAGGAGTTGGCCTTCTTATAGAATCTTAGATTGTACACTTCCTCCACTGAAGATGGAGGAAAAGAGTGTTTCCCTGAAGACAGAACACTATGCTTTCTAGGAGCAGAAGTTAAGTATGGCTAGAACATGGCTTGAATAGGGAGAGGCCAAGTTGTAAATGAGGCCAGATCACAAAGGGCCTTACGAACTCTGCTAAGGAGTTGAACTTTATCCTAAGAACCATGGGAACTATGCCATGGGTTTACACAGGGGAGTCACCAGGTAGACTTGTGGTTTACAAAATTTGCTCAAGTCAGAGAGAATGCTGGGGTCTGTTTAAATGGTGGAGATGAGAGATGAAAGCGGCCTAGACTAGGGAATGGGGAGATATGGATGGATTTGAGTGGCAGATCACACGTAGAATTGATAGTGATTGGATGTGGGGTTGGGTAGAAAAGGAAGAGCCCAGGTTCTGGCTTTGACAGTCTGTGCAGGTTGGTGACCTTTAGCAAAGTGGGGGTATTTTAGGAAGATTTAGAAAAAGAACCTGCCTGAGTAGAGGGACTGAATGAGGAAGTGAGTGAAGTTGGTCTTCTCTGACCTTTTTGGTTTGATTTACTACTTCCTTTTCCCAGCCACTCCACCCTCATAGATCAGCCTTCTCCAGATTGTAACACTGTGCAGTCTCCCCACTCGTACCACCACCCCACTCAGCCTAGGCTTCCCAAACTCTCCTCTACTCAAAGTAGACCTCTGCACAAAGTACAAGATATCAGTTATTTCAGAACCAGTAAGTGAATCTGTCTTCCTAGAAGAGGGCTGGGACTCTTCCCAGCCAGCAAAGAACCCTTGCTACATTTGAGGTCCACTTTATATGACGACAGAGCACTGGCGGCACAGTGGTTAAGAGCTCGGCTAACCAAAAGGTTGGCAGTTCGAATCCACAAGCTGCTTCTTGGAAGCCCTATGGGGCAGTTCTACTCTGTTCTATAGGGTTGCTACGAGTCGGAATCGACTTGAGGGCAATGGGTTTGGTTTGGTTTTTATACAACAGCCTCTATATGTTCTCTCTCTGCTTTATACATCTGAAACATTTTCCTACAATAATTGTTGTATGGTCTTTAAATAACCTAAGCTGAACCCAGAAAATCAAGCCATACACACAAAATACAAAGAAAAAAAGTCCTATAATGTTATGCTATTAACATTTGTGCGTATGTATATATATTCTTTCCCTCACCCCCAGGGCATTTATTTAATGCCCTCTATTTCCCCTTTTGTAACACACATCATGACTTGTTTAATATCTGTCTTCCCCTCTCAACTCTGATCACCATAAGGCCAGGAGCAGTATCTCTCTCGCTGATCACAGTATCCCCACTGGCTAGTAAAATGGCTGGCACAGAGCAGATACTAAATAAATTATGTATTGAATTAAATTGAATTCACTTGGTTCCTTTATTTACATTTTCTTTTTTTTTTTTTTTTTTGTGCTTTAGATGAAAGTTTACAGAGTAAACTAGTTTCTCATTAAACAATTAATACACATATTGTTTTGTCCTCCCCCCTTTCTTTTTTTTTTTTTTTTTTTATCCTCTTGGGTCATAGTCAAAAACACTGTTTAGCTCAACTGCTAACAGGCAGAAGAAAAAGAGCTAGTTATCTCCTGAATTAGAATTTGGGGAGGGGTGTATGTGTGTGTTTGCTGGCCAGAGAGCTAATGAAGTTAAGACAGGCTGAAGGTCCTTTTCATAGCTTGAAAAGCCAGCAACTCATGGAAGAATCACAGGCTTGCACTGGAATTGAGTGTTAATAAAATGCTCTGAGGTTTTAATGGCATAGATGAAAAAATAAAAGCATATCATTTGTTCGAACCAAAGTTGACACCCTAAAACCAAGCAGAACAGTGACCTCTTTTTAAAGAGTCAACACTTCAAATTTGATAGGAAAAAAATTTAAAGGCATAGAATTAAATTATCTTTTCTCCAAGGCAGACAATAGTGCGTTAGAGTTCAGGGTCTCTCTTCTGTGTGTCGCTCGAAAGGGCTGAACCACCCCACAGTGCCAGTTCCCAGTGGGAAAAAAGAACATCTCCAGGCACAGCTCTTACCTTTTCTTTAAAAAGTCAATTATTTGGACAGTCTACAAAGACTGCAAAATATTTGCACTGACTTCCCTGCCTCTTGCTGCTATCTGCAAAATCCTACTGTAAATACTGTTTCTAATCCAAACCATCAAGCTGAACTTACCCTCTGCTGCAGATTATTTCTAGGGCTTCTAAGTTTCCATGGTAAGCTGCCAGGAGCGTGGGAGTCATGCCATCTTCATCAGAAAGATTCAGATCTCGCCTGGTAGCCTCTTTCAGAAGTTCCAGGTAACTATCACTAGCAGCTTGGTGGTAGCGGGTAGACATTTTTCTGTTCACCAAAGCTTGGCCAACTACCTCTCTCCAGGCAGAGTAAGATGTTGGCCGGATAGCCTTCCCACAGATATGGTTAATCAGTGACAAGGAAGACAGTCACCCTAGGGCAAAGTTCACCCCAGCTTTGCTCCTTGGAAGGCAGCCAGAAAGGTACATGGCACTGAACTTGGACCTCTTCCGTATGGAATAACCATGCCTTTGAACACTGAGACCTGTAGCGGTCATTTCAAATGTTTTGAGGCACACTTTATCTTTTTTTTTTCTTATGCCCATTAGCAAGTCTAGAATATAATATTCTGGAAACACACACGTACTGAGTACAGAAAATAATTTCCACAAAATGCATGGCTAGCCTAGTTCACTAGTCTAGTCCATTTCTTTTTTAATAACTTTATTAAAGTATAATTTACATACCATAATATTCACCCACTGTAACTGTAAAATTTCCAAGGAGCGGCTGGTGGATTTGAACTGCCAACCTTTTGGTTAGCAACTGTGGTACGATTAATTACTTTTGTGTGTAGCCTTTCTAGCCATGGTCTTTTGACTCCCACTCAGGTGACTGGATGTGGCTGTGCAAATAAGATAATTGTGGCCCACCAAGTGGGTCAGTTTTGCTTAAAAGAGAGCCAATTCCAGAGCAGAAAGGATTCCACCACCAAAGAAGCAGAGACCCGCAGGAGATGGTGAGGGGGCCTCCTGGCCCACGGAGCCAGGAAGCTGAGTGCCTTTGGGCAGAGACTGAGGGCCAGGAAGAAGTCTATGCCTGAGCCATGAATTTGGGATTTGCCAGCCTCCACAACCGCATAAGCCATTTCCTTTATATGGTTCACGAGTTCTGTGAGACGTTGCAGCAAATTACGGAACCCAAAGACAGGAGGAAGAGTACTGAGGTGAGAGGGAGTACCTGATGTTAGAGATGATGCAGTGATACAGCACTTTGGAAAAGTTAAACATTTGGGACATATTTAACCTCCACCTCATAGGAACCAACTTTGTGCTGATCCTTATAAAAGAAATCATTCGTATAGCAGCCAAACACTTAACCACTGCACCACCAGGGCTCCAAGTGTAAAATTTAATGTTTTTAAATAAATTTACAGAGTAATGCAAACATCATCACTACAATCCAATTTTAGAATACTTCTATCACCCCAAAACATCCCTCGTGCTTATTAGTAGTCAATCCCCATTCCCATTCCCAACTTCGGGGAACTACTAATTTTCTTTTTGTCTCTATAGATTTGTTTTGTTTTTCAAACAAAACAAATTTTACATAGATGGAATCATATGATACACAGTCTTTTGTGTCTAACTTTTTTCACTTGGCATATATATATACATATATATATGTATACATATTTGTTGTTGTTAGGTGCTGATGAGTCGGTTCCGACTCATAATGATCCTATGTACAACAGAACGAAACACTGCCGGGCTTGCACCATCCTCACAATCTTTGTTATGCTTGAGCCCACTGTTGCAGCCACTGTGTTAATCTATCTCGTTGAGGGTCTTCCTGTTTTTCGCTGACCCTGTACTTTACCAAGCATATATATATATATACATATATATATTAGGTTCATCCACGTTGTAGCATTTAACAGTAGTTCATTCCTTTCTTTTTATTGCCGAATAATATTTCATTGTATTAATATACCACATATTTTCTATTGAACATGTGATGGACATTTAGATTGTTTCCACTCTTTGGCTATTATGAATAATGCTGCTATAAACATTCACTTACAAGTCTTTGTGGGCACATATATTTTCATATCTCTTGGGTAGATACCAAAAAGTGGAGTTGTGGATTACACGGAAAATTCGTATTTAACTTTTTAAGAAATTGTCGAACTGTTTTCCAGTGGTTGTACCATTTTTACATTCCCACCAGCAACATATGAGGGTTCCAGTTTCTCCACATCTTTGACAACCCTTGTTATTATCTTTTTTATTATAACCATTTAGTGGGTGTGAAGCGGTATCTCATTGTGGTTTTTACTTTGTATTTCCCTGAGGAGCCATGGTGGCGAAGTGGTTAAGTGCTCAGCTGCTAGCTGAAAAGTCAGTGGTTCAAACCGACCAACTGCTCCGCAGGAGAAAGATGTGGCAGTCTTCATCCATGAAGATTACAGCTTTGGAAATCCTATAAAATTTCTACTCTGTCCTATAGGGTCGCTATGAGTGGGAATCGACCCAAAGGAACAATACAACTACAAGGAGTAATTACGCTGATCACCTTTTCATGTGCTTATTAGTCATTCTTACATCTTCTATTCAAATTTTGCCCATTTTTTAAGTTGAGTTGTTTATCTTCTTATTATTGAGTTATAAGAGTTCTTTATATATTCTGGATACAAGTCTTTATCAGATATATTTTTGACTGAATGAAAGTGAAAACACAGCACAACAAAATTTAAGAGATGCAGCTAATGAAGAGCTTAGGTGAGAATTTATAGCATTTAATGCCTATATTAGTGCGCTGTAATGAATTACTCAATATGGCCGTTCTCGCCATGGTCTTGTAACTCCCATCCAGGAGATTGTGCGGGATTGTGTGACAGGGTAATTGTGGCCCACCAAAGGGGATTGGTCATTTTTGCCATCCTGCTGGGCTTGAAACAAGCCACCTCAGAGATGGGAAAGAGAACAGCCCACCAACACCAAGGGAGGAGAGACCAGCAGAAGAGACTCGGCAGTAGAAGACAGCGCAGTGGGCTTCCCGGCCCACAAAGAGAGAAAGCTGAGTGCCTTTGGACAGAGACTGAGGGCCAGGGAGAGGCATGCCTGTGAGCACAGCTGGGAAGAGGCTATCCTGAGGGAAGAACTGTATCCTGAGTGTTCCTGAGCCTGAATTGTAACTGTTACTTCCCTAATAAACACCATTAATTGTGAGTATGGTCTGTGAGTTCTGTGTGGCCATTGCAATGAATTATCGAACCCAGTAGAGAGTGCTGCAGGAGGGACAGTTGGTGTCAGAACTGGTAAAGACGGCAGAGAGGGGAAGCGTCTGACCCCCACCTCATAGGAATCAGCCTTGGGCTGTTGATCTGGGTTCTCCTTCCCCCTTGTGAAGTTACAGGAGGTGAGACATCGCCCCCATGCCATTCTTACACTTAGAGAAGAAGAAAGATCTCAATTAAAAAACAAGCTTCCACCCTTAAAGAAAGGAGGAAAACCATAGAAAAATTAGTGTAAATAAAGAGCACAATATAAAACCAAAAAAAAAAAAAAAATCCAAATCTCTCCATAATTAAAATAAATGTAAATGGACCAAATTCACCAGTTAGGAGATGTAGCCATGTCTTGTTTACCAGAGTCACATTTAAAAACTAAAACTGCAGAAAGATTGCAAGCAAAACATAGAAAAGTTGTATCAAGCAAATACTAACAAAAAATTGGTGTAGCTATATTTATACCATGCAAAATATACTTTCCAGCAAAACAAATTACTAAGGATAAGGAGAGACATACAATGATGCAAGGAACAATTCATCAAGAGAATATGATCATTCTAAACTTGTTTGTACCTAATAACATGACTCCAAAAGAGAAAACAAAAATTAATAGAATTTAAAGATAAGGAACAAATCAATAACCATATGTACCCCTTAATGTTATATATCAACCAGATAAAATATTAATAAAGATATAAAAGATATGAACATAATTAACAAGCTTGATCTAATAGTCATATATAGTACCCTGAATTCAACAGAAAAATACATGTTCTTTTCAAGCACACAGAGAATATTCATAAAAATTGACTACTTAACAGAACTAATGCAGGTCTCAACAAATACCAAATAATGGGTTTTATGTAGACTACGTTCTTCAAAACACTGCAATAAAATTAAAACCCACCACACTTACACAACTGATGTAGCTGTTTTACATTCTCTTATAATATATTTTTTACGTAATGGTCACATCAAATATATACCATTTTGCATCGTGTCTTTTCCCCTTTTTAATTCACCATAAACATTTTCCCATGTTGTTTCAAAATCTTTAATATGTTTAGATGATTTGACACTAAACTTATGTAAGGAAATCTATAACTGTTTATTTCTCTTCTCGCTTTTTGTCCAGGTTTTCTTGCCTGATAATAAATCTTTATTCCAGGATGAATTATTTGTCTACTCTGAAAAAGCACGAAGGTTTCACCTGCAGGTTCCTCACAATAGTAATTAGCTCCAAGGATCACTCTTTGCTTCTTTTTCTGGTTTCTACGCAAAAGGAAAGAGCCCTGGTGGTATAGTGTTCAAGACTCAGCTGCCAACCAAAAGGTTGGCAGTTCAAATCCACCAGCTGCTCCTTAGAAACCCTCTGCGACAGTTCTACTTGTCCTATAGGATTGATATGAGTCGGAATTGACTCAACAGCAACGGGTTATGCAAAAGTAAGGAGCCCTGGTAGCGCAATGGTTAAGAGCTCGGCTGTTAACTGAAAAATTGGCAGTTCGAACCCACCCAGCGGCTCCTTGGGAGAAAGATCTGCTGATCTGCTCCCGTAAAGATAACAGCCTAGAAAACTCCATGGGGCAGTTCTACTGTCAAATGGGGTCGCTATGACTAGAAATCGGCATGAAAGCACCTAACAACAACATGCAAACAGCAACAGGAGCAGTCTGTAAGGCATCATTATTTATCTGTAAAAACAATTCTTTTTTAACCCAGACAGAGTGAGATATTCCAACATGATGATGGGTGCTGTGAGAATGGGAGCAAGCTATAGCTCAGTAATAGACCTATTTGCTTATTTACCCAAAGCCAAAAGGAAGCAAAAGCAGTGTGAGATGGTTAGGGCAGAGATTAATGAAAAGAACTAACATAGATTTGCATACAGTGTGGACATAACTCCTTGTGAAGAGTCTTGATAATTGTGGGGCAATCATGGATTTTGACTGTGTATTTCTGGGATGCCTGTTGGTCTTGTGGAAATAAGTATGTATGAGTCTGTTCTAATAGTACGCTGCTGGACTCTTGGAAGATGAACAATATCTGCCATAGACACTGGAGAAGAAAATTTAAAGGTCATGCTTGAGTGGCAATCACCCTCTGCTCAGTTGTTCTAGTACCTAGCCTGCTAAGGTTCTCATCAAAGTTCCCAATGGAGCTACACCCTGCCCCCCA